TTTGATCCCTTGCTGATTTTGTTGGTTTGCTCACTAATAAAGACATGATCATTCTATACTTTTAATGGTAGATGTATTCTAACATGGAGAGACAGAATATCAAAAAGAAAATCCAGAAAATAACTTTAAATAAAATATTTTTATTCATTTGTATTTCATTGAGGGAAGTAAGTATTTAATCCCTCTAGCCTAAAGCACCTAATACTTGGTGGCACAGCCTTTGTTTGCAAGCACAGCGGACAGACATTTGTTGTACTTAACCACAAGGTTAGCACACATTTCAGGGGGAATTTTGGCCCACTCTTTTTTGCAGATCCTCTCTAAATCATTAAGGTTGGTGGGCTGTCGCTTGGCAACTCGGACCTTCGATTAGACTGAGGTCCGGAGACTGGCTGGGCCACTCCATGACCTTAATGTGGATCTTCTTGAGCCACTCCTTTGTTGCCTTTGCTGTATGCTTCGGGTCGTTGTCATGTTGGAAGACCCAACCACGGCCCATTTTCAACTTCCTGGCAGAGGGGAGGAGGTTGCCCCTCAGGACTGCTTAGTACATGGCTCCATCCATCTTCCCACTGATGCGGTGAAGTAGCCCTGTGCCCTTGGCAGAGATACACCCCCAAAACATAATGCTTCCACCTCCATGCTTGACGGTGGGTACAGTGTTCCTGGGGTCATAGGCAGCATTTTTCATTTTTCTTCCTCCACACATGACTAGTAGAGTTTAGGCCAAATAGTTCAATTCTGGTCTCGTCTGACCACAAAACCTTCTCCCAATCCCTTTGTACATCTTTGAGGTGATCATTGGCATACTTTAGGTGGGCCTTCACATGTGCCTTCTTAAGCAGGGGTACCTTTCGGGCACTGCAGGATTTTAATCCATTGCGGCGCAAAGTGTTGCCAATTGTTTTCCTGGTGACTGTGGTCCCAGCTGCCTTAAGGTCATTCACTAACTCCCGCTGTGTGGTTGCAGGCCGATTTCTCACAGTTCTCATGATCATTGCCACCCCACGAGGTGAAATCTTTTGTGGAGCACCAGACCGAGGTCTATTGATGGTCAGGTCATACATCTTAAATTTTCTCACAACTGCATGAATGGTTGTTACTTTAATACCCAGCATCTTGCTAATGTTTTTGTAGCCCATTCCAGATTTGTGCAGGTCAACAATCCTGTCTCTGAGGTCCTGAGAGAGTTCTTTGGTCTTACCCATGTTGGAGAGTTTGGAATCTGTCTGATTGTCTGATTCTGTGAACAGGTGTCTTTCACACAGTTTATTAGTTAGAACAGGTGTCTTCAATTCAGGTAACAAGTTGATTGGGATTGTCTAACTGGTCTGTGAAAGCCAGAACTCCTAATGAATACTAGGGGATCAAATACTTATTTCCCTTAATGAAATACAAATCAATTAATATATATTCTTTAAAGTTATTTTCTGGATTTTCTTTTTGATATTCTGTCTCTCCATGTTAGAATACATCTACCATTAAAAGTACAGAATGATCAGGTCTTTATTAGTGGGCAAACCAACAAAAGCAGCAAGGAATCAAATACTTTTTACTCTCACTGTATATATGTATTTACATACATTATATATATATATATATATATATATATATATATATATATATATATATATATATATATATATATATATATATATATATATATATATATATATATATATATATATATATATATATATATATATATATATATATATATATATATATATACAGTGAGAGTAAAAAGTATTTGATCCTTTGCTGCTTTTGTTGGTTTGCCCACTAATAAAGACCTGATCATTCTGTACTTTTAATGGTAGATGTATTCTAACATGGCGAGACAGAGTATAAAAAAGAAAATCCAGAAAATAACTTTAAAGAATATATATTAATTGATGTGTATTTCATTGAGGGAAATAAGTATTTGATCCCCTAGTATGCATTAGGAGTTCTGGCTTTCACAGACCAGTTAGAGACTCCCAATTAACTTGTTACCTGAATTGAAGACACCTGTTCTAACTAAACACCTGTGTGAAAGACACGTGTTCACAGAATCAGACAATCAGACAGATTCCAAACTCTCCAACATGGTTAAGACCAAAG